AGCTCCTTTAAAAGCAAGGCGTCGGAAGGTGATTGGATGGAGAATCAGACGGACAGGATGCTGATTGGAAGGCCGGGAGACGCACCGAAGAGTCACTGGAAGGTGGAGGCGGTGAAGGTGAGTCTTTAATTCTGAATTTTTGTCAAAACTCCATTTTAAAAAAATAAAACTGTAAATTTTATTAAATTTATTGTGGATTTTCTCTAATACACACGGGGTTCTAATTACACATAAAGGCTCAAATATTGACCTCAACTAATATTTTTCTAAATGCTCATAAGCAAGTTACAAAGAAACAACATGCCTTTTTCAAGCCATCAGCAAGTTCCTGGCAAAATTCTGGATGGATTTTGAACATGTCTCTTATCAGATAATACAGAGTAGCCTACATATAAATAGGTTTTTTGCCACAAACTCTACATTAAACCTAGTTAACATATTTTCAGTACAATTTAGATCAGAATCAGTCCAGCAGTTTAATGTGAACCTGCTTTATCCACTCTAAAATCAGCTTTAAATGTGTTTCTTCTATTAGAAATCCCACATGTCCACGTTTCAACCTGGAATTTGAAGGTAGTCCGCTATCCCCCTTATCTTCGTAGAGTCAAATTTACCTGGTAAAAATGAAGTTAAAATTAGTAAATAAAAAAAATATTCCAGACACTTTGGGCAATGCTTAGTACCACTTGTGGTGAAAAAGCCATCTATGACTGACAGTTGTTTCTATGGCCATATAATTAAAAGATAATACGGCCTAGTTGTCTGGCCTAGTGTCTGGCCTAGTTGTGGGTGACTTTTGGCTTTGAGATAAAATCCACAATAAACTTTTGCACCCAATTCTTGTCTTAATATACGTACAAGTATTTTGTTTTATCACCATTTCACCCTTAGATAGGAATGTTTAAAATGCATCATCATAGGCCAATAATTAAAATGAACTTCATGTCCATCATGAATGTATGTAAAACCTCTGACGTGCACTGTAAATACAATTATAGCTAAAAACTGCCACTACAGGAACCAGGAATTGGACACAATGCTGTTTTTGTCTCAAATCACAGGAAAGTAATCACTGACCACAAAAAAGTTAAACACAATTACACAAGATAACTTTTATTTAAAAAAAATAATAAAAAGATTATCTAGATGTATCCTGCCTAAGCTGCTATTGCAGCTAAATCAAAGTCCTGAAGTCCTCATGGCAAAGCACCTACCCTCCAGAGTTTTAATTTTCATTTAATCTCCTATCGGTAACTGGAATCAGTTGAGTACTTCCTGGCAATGAACTAGTCGCATTTACACAAACATTAGCTCCAACATCACTGCCCTTTCTGGTATCTCATCAAGCAACAAGCCAGTCGAGTAAAGAACTTGGGTGCTAGAGGAAAAGGGCATGTGGTGGGAGCATAAATATCACAGAAAAAAATCATGTGGGCAATCCTATCACATATTCTCTGTCCCTGCAAACACATCCAGAAGGCTCCAAAGTACATTTGGGCATCTCTGAATCACACTTACCTACACTGCAACTGTGCTTTCACTTAGAAATAGATTAAACACACTGCTGCTACTTGAAATATGTGAGTAGACATATAAAGAGTTACATCTTGAGAGAGATTTGTCACATATAACGATAAATGCTTTGCAACAAGAGGAGGGTAATATAAAAATGATTATTTAACATTTTCAAGATCTTGTCATTTAATTGTATCAACAAGACATATATTTATCAGTTTATATTACTGGGAGGTGTTTCAGGAAATCTCTTCCCTTCAACTTACAAACAAATGATTACTTCCATAAATTAGATTTTCTGTTCAGTCTTGTAATAAAAAGGACATTCAGTCTGACAGCAACACCAGGATGAAGAGAGACGAGGCAATATAGGTTGCTAGCCAACCAGCTATGTTTCTATGGAAACAGTGGCCTCCTTCGTTGACGGGAATCTAATTGATGAAACTTGGTATTCAGACGAAATGAGAAATACCGGGACGCCCCGTAGGACTTTTGGCTGTGGGGAAAATGATGTAGCAATCAAACAAACAGATTTATTGTAATATTTGCCTTGGCAGTTGACTCAGGATATCTTACTGCTTCCTGATCGTGTCTCCATTGACTCAACTTTATTTGGAGACAAATTTACAAGAACCTCAAACAAACTTTAAAATGAATATGACTGTTTTTAGCTCAAGTAATTCCCTAACAGCTAAAACCATGACTAAATTAATCTAAAAGGAGAAGAACAGTTTAAATCACTTCAATAAATGTTTGCCAAATGTTTGTTTTATGACTTAGTCAAATTTCTAAAAGATATGCCATGAAAACTTTTCAAACTGTTTTATTTTATGAAGAGACCTTACATACTTAAGTAAGCAAACAGTTTGATGACCTGGGCCCGTATTCACAAAGATTCTCAGAGTCCCCTCAGAGAGCTCGTATCTTAGCCTAAACATTGTTGGCAAGGAGTCGTAGCTTAAGAGTGATTCACTTCACTGCAAAGAGCGAGTCTGAGCAAGGAGAGGACAGAAATCCCTTTCTTAGTGAGGTGTGGTTGAGCCTGTTGCTCAACCACACCTTAACCAGTCACAGCTCTTAGAAGACAGGGTCACAATCATCTCTAGGAATACAAATTGACCCATTTATTCAATCATTTGAGTTACCATAGATTTCTCAACAATTTTTTTTAAAGATATTTGAAGCAACGTGAAACCTAATTAAGTAGATATATTATTTTAAAATGTCTGGTAACATTTAGTCAGTCAGTCATTTCCTACCGCTTATTCCATAGTGGGTCGCGGGAGAGCTGGTGCCTATCTCCAGCAGTCTATGGGCGAGAGGCAGGATACACCCTGGACAGGTCGCCAGTCCATCGCAGGGCAACACACAAACAACCACGCACACACTCATTCATACACCTAAGGGCAATTTAGAGTCACCAATTAACCTAACAGGCATGTCTTTGGACTGTGGGAGGAAGCCGGAGTACCCGGTGAGAACCCACGCATGCACGGGGAGAACATGCAAACTCCATGCAGAAAGACCCCCGGCTGGGAATCGAACCCAGGCAACAGTGCTACCAACTGCGCCACCGTGCAGCCCTGGTAACATTTAAATTTACACAATTTATTTAGAAACTTAAAGAACTGCTATAGAATTTGAAAATTGTAAATTTAGTAAATCCGTAATGATGCTTCTTGTCTACTAATATTTTGTCATCAAATGTTCTGTTCCTTTTCTATGTTTGTTTTGTTTGAGTGATATTTTTTAATCTGTTCAGTTTTCTTTGTCCTCCTTTACGTTTTTTGAACTATTATGTCACAGTATTTGCTCCAGAACAGTGGGTAAGTCTAAATGATCGGTTGTTGGGTGTATTAACCCATACAATTGATTACACCGTCCCCCAGCATTAGAACCTCTTCAAAGTGCCTGAAAAAGTTTTTTATTCATGAAAATGTTCCCACATCAGTGGGGAAATTCCTCTTCTTCAGCACAAAGCACTTCAAGAATGACTGCCTTCAGCAACCTCCACCAGTATCAAGAAGAATTTGCTGAAAGACTTCATCTAATTAAAGGGTCAGTTCCTTCTGTCAATGAACAACAGAAACACCAAAGCGGTAAGCTGCAAATAATGCTAAAATGACAACAAACTTTATTTTAGACATGAATTTATGGTGTGTTAATATGACTTCCTGGCCATTGTTCTGATATCAGTGCATCGTGCCTTCTGCTTATGTTAGTGCTGGGTGCTAGATAATTGTATCTCTGATATCACACTACAAAAATGGTAATTATTACTATAGTAATTATTTTTACCAGAGTATTGTTTAATTTTTTTTTCTAGTTTTATTCTGATTCTATTTGGTTTTATTCCTTGCATATTTGATTATTTATTTAGCTGTCTTGATTTTAAGCATGAACCTTGGGATTACAAAAGTAGAAGTCTTTAGAATATTTTGCACAATACTCATTTAAGAAATCGAAAGTTGGAAACTGAATGTTGCATCAGTTTTCTTGTTTTTACTAAAACATTCTACAACAACATCCATCAAACATTGCACAAAGGTTATACTGTAACCACTAGGCCATAGGGGGCTAGTGTAGTTATATTTCAAAGTATGTAAAAGAATTTACTTTAAAACAACATTTATTGAAACCAGTCAAGACAATACCTGATTTAAAATCTGCTTGTTTTGTGTTTCCAGGAGGTGTAAATGTTTTGTGCTTCTTTGTCTTCTTCCTTAGATATTTAACCATTCTTGTTCAGTAAAAACCTTGAATTTTCAAAAGTTTTTTGTTAAACTGAGGCAAAGAGACTAATTTTTGCTTAGCTTGAAAGGTTGTCCTTAAAGGCAGCGAATGAAAGCTTTCTTAACTCTCAAAGGATGACACGTTCCTTTAGCTAAAACATTTAAAATTTGTGAGTCACTTATGACAAAACAAAGTTCTAATTTTTCAGAGAAACATACAAAATAAAAATAAAAAGCTGTAAAGAAGATGCCATTTCTAAGATTGCGCTGCCATTTAAAAAGTATATTAATTCAAACCTCCAATTTTAGTTCCACACTTTTAAATTACAATAATGTTTTGTAGGTCAACCTCAAAGATTTCTGCTGACAAGTAAACCTCTGAAACTCATTTCAAGTTCAGGTTTTCATCTGGACGAATAGGTCAAAATAAAGAATTTCAGAAAAGAAAGGTGCACACAATTATTTCTCAGCTTTGTATTTGTTTTGTGATTTTATACATTGTCTTTAACTTCCTCTTCATCTGTGTTTTGGGTTTTTGCTGTTTTTCTCTGTTCCAAAGGTGACTGTTCTCAGCAAAGCGAGCATGGTATTCATTTTAAATTTATTGGCTCCCTAACCAAATCCTAATCCAGAAGCAGGTTCACCAATTAAAAGAGACAAGACGTCAACTGATCCAAATAAATATCAAACACAAAAGCTGCTGTTTAGTTTTACTGTGATTCAAGTTGCAATAGTCAAAATTCATATTCACATTGACAGTGGCTGGGTTATATGATTATGCGCAAAGTGAAACATGGCACTCACAGCAGCAGCTGCCTCAGACATTTATCCTCCAATTCTGCAGTTCCCCTTTAGACCCCTGAGGCTTTTTAGCATATACCAGTGAGCTGTTTTGCTTGCATTGATTTATAGTTTTATTCTTCTGGATCTGCCTCTCACTCCATTTTCAGCAGCAGCTGGGCACCATTTCCTAAGAAAAAGCTCTCATAGAGTAGCTGAACCTGTTCTGTTAATCACTAAAAGGCACCCATACAAAATACAGCAACAAGTTGTTGAACAGAAAATATGTAGAAATCAGCTACTTGAAAGTCACTTCTTGTAGGATGTTGACTATAATAGACCAAAGTTGCTACTCTGCAGGCACCTGTATGGAATTTTCAGGGTAAAGAATGGCACAGTTTCACAGTATTTACACCAAAACCTTATACCTAAATATATAAAATTATCTACTTTTATTCAAGACTAACAATTATTCCTCTTATGCCTTTTACATTGCTGCCGATACACCTGAATTTCCCAACTGTGGGACCATAAAGAACATTTCTATTTGTATTCTATATTGAACATTTGCTGTTATAATATTATCTATAATCTGCTTACTATTATTCTTAGACTCTGGCAAAAAATAAGCACCCATTTAATTAAGCTGTAAATGTGTGTGCAGAACGTGATACTGTTTTGCTGTTTTTGCTTCTCCTTTTACAGTAACACTAAGAGTTTGATAAGCTGTTATCTGGTTTTAGTCGAGCTATCTATTCAGGTAGCCAACTACTTAACAGATATCCAGCTCACTGAATACAAATTGTGGTCTTAAAACAATTTTACCTTAAAATGAGTGATGGGTGGTGTTTGTTTAGTTTCCACACAATTACAACTGGAAGTATTTCCAAACAGACAAATTTCTCTTTCTTGTTAGCAAGGCAAAAGTGTAGGAGCCTTCTTTTAGCCAGCTGACTAGCAGTGTGCATTAACACAGGGTACACCAAGTTGAAAATGTTTCTGTTAAATTCAACTCAGTTCAATTAAGTTCAATCCATTTCAAATATTAATATAACAAATTAAAAACAAGTGTTATCTCATAGTACTTTACCAGACAAACAGGTTCAATTCATATTCAGAAATATATAATCAAAGCATTCCAAGACATTGCAATTAAGCAGAAACATTCATAATTAAATACATGCATACATACCAATTAGAATTGAGTTTTGTTACAATCCAGTCAAATATGGTGTATAATGCCAAGTAGAAGCAAGTCATTTATGGATGCCCATCTGACTGCTGGGAGACGTCACTTTGTAGTAATATGTTCCTAATTAAAACTTAGAATAAGTACTGAGGCTGGCTAGGGGTGGGTTACATGGACCTACATTTTTTTCATAATATTCAGGGTTCTTCATTGCAATGACAATAAAAAAAAAAGAAAAGTACTTAAAAATTCACCAGTTTTTATGGTGATACATCTGTCACTGCATACAGGCAAAGCCTCACAAAAACAAATACTGCTCCAAAAGTAAAACACATCCACAATCGAATAGGCTATTTCAGTTAATCTTTACACCACCACCTTTACACAACTCTAATTTTTAAAAAAATATAATGATAATAATTGATGCTCTTATTTATGCAACTGTGTAAAAAACAGCTGAAAGAGCAAACGTAATGATCCCAAACTTACTATATAGAGAACACACTAATGTGGAGAACAATTAGCTAAAATTATTGATGAGCGGACAATAGAATAGGCATCCCACAAGGCTCAGTCTTGGGCCCCTTGCCCTATAGCTTGTATAGACATGATTTGACAACAAGCAGCAAAACAGCTGATTGTCAAATATGTGACACAATCATTAGGCATCATCTGCAACCCCAAATGCAACAGCTGAGATTAGGGGTGTACCGATTGATCGGCTGGCCAATCGATCAGCCCCGATTTCCTTGATTTTGGGAGATTGGCCAGTACTTACATGTTAAACTGATCTTATCCACCAGTCGTATCTACGTGTCTAACCTATTGTGCAAGTTTTGTTTCTTTTTTTAAATGTGAAAAATTAAAGACTAAAGAAACTGCAATGATCTAAACGTTTCATTTATATTTGAGAGCGCTGCCTTGTGTGCAGTTAAAACGAGTTTGTATTGTTTCATGGGTATTGTTCAATGTTATTGAATAAAATAAGATTGGAACTTTAAAGGTGTATTGTGACCTTTTAACTCCTGACAGTGTCAGTTATGAAAAAAATCGGAATCAGCAGGTCAGGCTTTTTAAAGATTGGCTGTCGGTGATCAGCCAGAAAACTGCAATCGGTGCACCACTTTAAACAAAAAATGTGGTAATGTGCTTTTCCATAAGAAACAAAAGTCACAGATGTAGTTACAATCGCGATTTTAAGTTGTTATTTTGAACTTACAACTAAAATTACATTCATTTTTTCTTATGTTCTGATGTTTTATTTGTTACTTTTTTATTCAACGTATCTTATAAGGATGTTGTGGCATGCCTATATATTAGCACCAGACAGGATTAATACATTTATTAATACATTTCCGCAAACTATATATATATAAGTTCTGATAAAGCTCAGTTGTCAGTTTAAGAGTACCTTTTGAAAAAAATAACAGAAATTTTTTCTTTAGGATTTCAATATATCGACATATTTGACATATTTATCTCACCCCAAATGCTTCTGCTTTGTGTGAGAGTCTAGTGATATCAACACTATGTGATTTTGATTACCATTTATTATCAGTCCTAATTGACAAAGTTTGGTTTCATTTCTTCAGAAACACCTAATGCAATCCGTTAACCTAGCATTTATGGTGTAATGAGTATCACTTGTCTGTTTTCGGTGTTCTTTATTTATGGCCTTTTTGCAGTCAAGCCTATTTGTACCTTTTAAAGAAGGTACTATTTCAAAATATACTGAAAAGCACATCTGACATTAGTGTTGAACTTATTGCTCCTGCACTCTCATAAGTGTTTGTTGCAGTTGGAGCTTTTTAAGATGTCTTGTTTCTCCTGAGGTTTAATGCACTTACTGAAATAGACCTGAATGAATCCAGTGTAATGT